GAGTCAGCTCTGCCGCCGCTGCCGCTCTAGCACAGGCGGAGACACAGAGACACACAGACTCTGAGAGCAGTTTTCGTGCAACTCAAAATTAGCGCGGGCAGGTTTAACATCGATAATCGGCTGCGAAATGATCCCAGCAACCGGGGGCACAGCCTCGGCCCCGTCGCCCTCGGTTTATACAGCTAACAAAAGAAACCAGGACCTGTCTCCAAATAGCCATCTTAGGCTTCAAGGCTAGGCAGAAGCTGTAGGCCTCAAAGAAGGGCCTATGGAGATGGATAGATCTGGGAGAGGGCTCGGAATCGGCTCCGGCCCCGGCCCCCCCAGAACCCGCGGACGTCGCTGTCCGGAACAGTATTGATCCTTTTGAACTTTTTTTTTTTTTTTAAGCGTAAACGGACCGCGTTGAGATTTAAAAGGGGGCGACAGAGGGACTTGCGATTGGTTATTGTCCGGGCTTGAAAAACAAAACAAACCCACCAAACCCCCCCAAACAAAACAAGTGCTGTTAAATACAGGGCTCTCTGGTGAAAACACAGCGATTCGAGAAGCCCTGGCTCAGTAACTCTTACGGATCGATCCGAAACACCTCTTGATGCCTTAGGTATCTACGGATCTCTGTAGAATGGGTATTTATTTCATAGTTAGGTTAAGGTTTCCTTGGATTGTGCACTTTGAGACAAGTGTGCCTGTGTTTTTACCAGGTTTCTGAGAAGAATCAGTGGGGAGAAATTGTTGAAGAGTTCAACTTTCCCAGGAGTTGTTCTAACGCTGCCTTTGCTTTAAAACAGTATTACTTGCGGTGAGTAGTAGTGACTTTTCCACAGTATTTGGAAATAAGGGACTTATGGAGAGATTTGTTTTTAGCAAAAACAAAAGCAAACCTTACACACCAAACAGTCTCTAAGCTCTTGTTAATTTTCAGACTGAGAAACATTTAATATAAATAAAGTGTGGTTGTAGGAAGGTGAAAGTTTCCCTACCACTTTTAGGATCGTTTACATTTCTCATACAAAATCATTATAGGTGACACCCCACCCCTCCATCTTGGTAAACATTCTTTTGTGACATTGTTATTGATTGCTTGGTATCCACTAAGGAGCAGAAAGGTGATGCTTAGTAAAAGAGTTAACATAGTTAATGAAACTTTGTAACCTTTGGGAAATTTTTTTCTCTTTGTTTTGGAAACTCCTTTTTAAAATTCTGACTTTCAGAATTTAAAAAATAAATGAAACTTGTTTGGAACCGTGTCATTGAATACTTTTTCAGTAGAGTCTTTCTGTATGGCATCACATTTTGGTGGCTTAGGTAACCAGATTGTTTTCAGAATTATTTTCTGTTGAGTTTCTGAGTGACTTGAAAACGTTCAAAGGGATTATTACATCTTTAGGAAAAAGGGGATACTGTAGAATGGGTTACTGTAATTTGCATTTTCTTTCATTCTCTCTTTTTTTTTTTGACTTCTTATTTGAGGGTAAATTTCTTATTCAGTTTGTATGTGATACACTCTGGATAATATATTCTGTGAGTTACTTTTTTTTTCAGTTTTTCTTCTAGGAATGTTTTCATGCTGTAATTTTTTAGGAAATTATCTTTTAATTTTAATGTTTACTTACCCAGAGAGGGTCCTAAGTTGGTAGTTATTTGAAACTAAAGTAATTCTCCTGTATTTATTGCTTTTTTGTAGCAACATTACAGGATGGCCTTTTTTTGTAATGTGGTTTCTGCATTATTTGAGTTTTGCGTTATTGCTGCAAATGCACTCAGTTATTCTGTATCCTGCTCAGCATTCTGAAATAGGAAATGCAGTAATTGCACAGGTGTACTTTCTATTGGCTCTCTTAGATTGACTTCAGGCTTGAAGCCGGAGTTCACAGAACTTTGTGGAGTAGTTACTGAGTTACACAAGAAATCTAGGAAATGTTAAATATGGTTAGTTATCTACTATGTGTGTGTGTGATGGCATGCACGTGTGTCAGAGTACATTTTTAAATAAAGGGTAAATCAGACAACAAAATTAACCTCTAAGACTGTTGCATTAGTATTGAGGTGAGAAATAGAGAATTTATATTTATGGTAGTAAATAAATTGCTCATTTCCATTTATAATTTTGAGAGGAACATGTTAGTACATATTCTGGTTTTATGGTAATCAGTTGGAACCATTTGGATTTTGGACTGTTAAAAATACATATTTTATGGTCTTGTCTGGTATTTGTTAGGTTGATTGATTGAAATTGAGTGTATGATATATATACTTCATGAGAAATATGTATATTTTTCTGAAAAATTTACATTCCCACTAACACTTCTAGCATAGTCAATTAAATGTCTAGGTCCTCCATTTTTTTTTTTTTTTTTTTTTTACAAAGGTTAATCATAAATGTTTTTTTCAGTTGTCATTTCTATCTTGGAAATGTATCATCCATTAATTGTACTTACAGATAGTATTTTTTAACTATATAGTTTCAAGGTTGTAAGTATTTATAGTGTTCTTAGATCAATTTGGGCTTTATGCTCTTACTAGAAGGTGCTTTTTGAACTACATCCTTAGCTAAACTTGTTTTTCCTCCATATGTGACTGTCTAGGTTTGTTTTTGTAGAGTTGTAGCTAGGCTACTAGGAAAAAAGTTGAAGCATTTGTTTTGGAAAATAAAACCATGTGAAGATTTGAATGGCTTGTGAAGAAGTATAAAAGAAATCTCCTGGTCAAAAATTGGGTACTACCAACCTTGAAAGAATTTTTCCCAAGTGGTGTAATGCACGGTTAGAGGATATGTATTATGCTGGGTTTTACACCTTCCTCTGAAAAAAAAAAAATCTTAGCTGGTAGACAAGATGCCAAGCTTAACAGTAATTCTCTTAACCATAAGAGTGCCTCTTCACAGTAAGAAATAGTAATCAAGTGATCTCTTAGCTGCATCAAATTGAATATCATAGTTTCTGACAAGCAGATAATGTAGCGTGTTTTGTAAATCACAGGTGGAATAAGGTTTTTTAATATACTCTGCTTTTTCATTTGACTTATTATAAGGATGCTATTACATGTGTTAGTTTTTCTTTACAAGTTTAATATTTCCCCTGTAATTTTAACATTAATTGGGTGGACGGGTGTTAGCTTAGTGTTTTCTGATGTATCTTCATAATATTACAGATATTTAAATAAGAAGAGTAAACTGGCATGCTGACTATGTATGTGTCTCAACAGTTTTATGCTCTTTTTGATACACATATATTCAGGCATTAAATACAGAGACTTGAATATTAATGATCTGCCAAAAGTTAAATTGATTGTATCGAAAATAGTTATTCAATTGTAGATTGTCTACAAAAATTTAACTAAGTCCAAAATTAAAAATGCAGTTTATTATTTAACATTGGCATTTAGTTTTTAAAAATGTAAGTGCCTACTGATAATGTGTGAAAGTACTCTATTTAAAAATTGGGTAGTAATCATCTATGATGTGTGTGTAGTTTATGTTCATTTAGTTCTTTTCTTGGCATGTCATCTCAGTGTGTTCCACAGGAATTTGTTATTAGAATATTCTTACCAGTGTAAAAGGGTGAGGTATAATTTCCCACATTTTGTAGATGGAAATTTTATAGTGCAAAAAAAATTAAAATGGCTTTAGAAGCATTAATTAATTGGACAAAAAAGGTGTTCATGATGTGGTTTTGTAATACTTAAATCAGTCTATTATGAATTTAGTTTGTTAGAATTGATTCTAAGAAGTTAAAATATAATTGGAAATTATTTAAGTTAAATTCATGCCCAAATAGATCTTTGCCCAATGTCCATATTTACTCAGTGAATTTCATATTTCTGTTTTGGTGCTGAGATTGGGGCATAGTTTCCTACTCCAATTTGGGTTAAGAATTTGAAGCTTTGGTATGAAGATTTAGATAAACACTTAAAATACTTACTTGAAGAATTTTGTTTCTGCTTACTGACACCAAGGATAGTAGTAGTCAAGGTGAACTTGATGTTTCTTCTATAAAAACTTTAGGTGAAGTATCTTGGATATTAAAAATTTATTATACAAAACTGTATGTTAATGGTTTTCTAGGTCTAGAACTTACAATATTGAATGGTTTCTTTTCACCTGTACCTTTAGCATAGTCAGAAACTTAATTGTAGAGATGGGCTCACCATAGTCAAATTTCATTTGCATTGTGAATTTATTCTATTTTGTTTTTCTTTTTGGGTAAAGTTCTCTCCTTAAATTATACCAATAGAAGAAATTTGCACTTATCAGACGAGTGAAATGAATACACTCATGTGTTCTTTAGGTGGTATCCACTATGTAGATCAGTTGTTTTAAGAGAAAGCCTTTTATGAATCACTTGAAGTGAGGGAATCCTTCAAAGTTATAATAAGTAAATAAAGTAATACATTGAGTTTGTAAATATTGCTTAGTAGAACTTAATAAACAGATTACTGTCCTTATTTAAGAATCTGTATCTGAATAAATGATTCGAACATGTATTTTAATTTTATAAATTGTATCTTTTTTTAAATAAAATCTTATTTTGGTATTTTCTAATATTCTGTTACATTTTTAAAGGGCATGCAGACTTGTTGAAAGAAGGAGTAGAAAGTGGAGAAAGTTTGAAAGACTGATCAAAGCTCAGCTAGGTTAGTGTTGTGTCTTAGAATCCATGTTTTAAACAGCTTAAATTAAACCAAAGTAGAAGTAATTGAATTCTTTTCAAGTTAGTTAGTTTACTGAAGTTACAAATTTTACTGAGTATACAAACTGAGTACTGCAGTTACCAAAAGTGTTTATATGCTTTTTTGCATTTCAATTTTCTATCTTAGCTGTTAACTAAAAAATGTCTATTTCTGAATAGAAACACTTTTTTTGTAATCACACTCTGTTCTGTTGTCCATTCAGTATTTTCTTAGTGATTGTGTGTGAAATACACTATACTGTCTCTGATAGAAAAATATATCACTATTATGGATCTTTTATATTCTTGAACTGAAAGAAATTAAAAGTTGGAATTTTAATTCCTTGGAATTTAAGTGCATTAGTCAGTGAGCAAGTACTTAATACATTTTTAGGTAAAGTATTAAAGAGTTTTTGTTATTTTGTGAAGGCTGCTTTTAGGCATTTTCTAGACCTACTGAAGTTTAATGGTAAAAATGGATTTAATCTGAAGTGGGAATTAGAGGACATATGGGGCAGAGTTGGGTGGGGGTGGGCAGATTCGTTCATCTGCCTCTACCAACATCACCACACTCTTTGGAATTCTGGGTCTATTAGAGTAGAAATTCCCAATTTAGGCTCTATGAAAAAGTAGTTTTCCTGAAATGTTAATGTTTCCTGGCAAAGAAGGCCAAATGAATTTGAACAAAAAGCTAAAGTTGGGTTACTTTATTGCAGGACTTCTTAGACACTTTATTTTGTTTATGTGTGTTGTGGATCTCTAGAAAATTTGGGAAAACATGATTTATTCTTTTCCCTTAACTACTCATAGTAAATGGTATTTCCTGACCTCCACCATAAGCGGTATGGGGTATGGTATAGCATGTTTAAGGGATAGTTACTGAGTTCTTTGGAGCATAGTTTTGGAAACTAAGCTAGAAGAGATGAGGGGTAAACAAGAAAAATTTTAAGAATGGAAAATAATGGGGAAAATGAGATGAGATTATATATGCGTATTTATGTAGGGACATAAGAATATAGATTTAGATCATTTTCATGGAACTGCTATTTGGATATCTTTATCAGTGTGCAAAATTATGTTTCTGCTTTTTTCCCAATGCATTGATTTAAAGTAATTCGGTCATTTGTCCTAT